AGAAATAAGTGCTTATGTATTAAGTAAACTAAGATACAGAAGGTTAATGTATTAAGTAAACTAAGATACAGAAGGTTAATGTATTAAGTAAACTAAGATACAGAAGGTTAAAGGTCGACACATATATATATATACGTTATGGGATAGTGAAATGGCATTTTTTTATATAGAAAAGCTTGTTTCAGAATTTCGCGAAAAGCCACACAAGGGCTATTTGGGTATAGGTACTTCTAATTGGAAGGCAGCCAGATAGCAGTATCCGCCATCACAAAAAAAAAACTTTGTCCGGCTTTGAATCGATCAACGAGGTTGACTGTCACTCTTGTAAAAGCTGTAAGTGTGGAGCGTTTTCGACAGCATCCTAACAAGAACCTTGGACCTATCGATCCACAGACCGGCACTAGGTCACGACCGACCATGACAGTTTCGATTTGCTCTTATCTCTCTCTCGGGATTTACTGTAAACGCCAGTTGACAACTTGTAGCAAACCGACCGTCCCATTCTTCTCTCGGCGTCGACGTAATTACATAAATGTTACTTGTATATACGCCACTTAAGGGAGGAAAGAAAAAATACTCTCGGCACCAGTGGACGCTTCAGTGTCTTCTTAACCACCGCGACATTTCTCACAAAGAACGTAACGTCAAATGCGGACAATTATGAGGAGCACATTTCATTGACCAACTTTATGTTTTCAACAACTTCTCGGTAATTTCAAGGATCGTCCATGCGTTAGCCATTCGAGTTATGTGAGGTGATGGAGGATGTCAGTGACTTCTGAGCTAAACAATTGCTTGAGTAACAAAAAGGAAACGGCCTAATAAAATCCGCGAGCGAGACTTTCCTCCAGTAGAAAACTAATGAATTATAAAAAACAAAAAAACACACACACACACCCATCTTTAAAAACTAGAAGCAAATAGACAAAACATGCTCCGTAAATCAGCGTCCATCTCTGTCATGAAATTACTGAAGCTTGAGAACAAGAAATGTTACTGTCCACAGAATTTAATGCCACTGACTCTCGAGCAAGTTTAGGTTGTCATTATTTTGAGCCGTGAGCCATGACGTCACCTCGCGCGTGTCAACACGCTGTTCGTGCTTTTTGTGAAACATCCTTTGATGGGTGCCCTAGTTTTCTTGGCTCAGAAGACGTTATTTTGTTTCTAAACGCATCAATTCTTTCAGAAGTGAAATGCAGAAATATTTGTGGGAATATCATATACAGCTCTTTTCTGTCCCAAGTTTCTGTTATTGAAAAGTCTCCACGAGACGTGACATAAAGATGAAGAGCTATTTTACTGGTTGTTATAGCAATAACTTGTTTCAACAACACCAAGGATAGTGATATGGAAAACGGAGAGTTTTCACTGCAGTTTTTTATATACCGAGTCTGTATTCTTGAGGCCCGGCATGGCCAGGTGGTTAGGGGGCGCTCGACTCGCAATCTGAGGGTCGCGGGTTCGAATCCCGTCACACCAAACATGCTCGCCCTATCAGCCGTGGGGGGCGTATATAATGTGACGGTCAATCCCACTATTAGTTGGTAAAAGAGTAGCCCAAGAGTTGGCGGTGGGTGGTGATGACTAGCTGCATTCCCTCTAGTCTTACACTAAACAAACCATACTAGAAACAATACTAGAGCGTGTCCGGAAAACCTGGAATCATAGGTGATTTGCAGTTCAGAAGTCCGAGCTTGGTTGAATGACACTGGATTGGCAGATTTTGACCCCGGGAATGGGTCCCAAGATCTCCGGACTTGACTCCCATGGATGTCTTTTTCTGGGGACTGCTCCAGGCACGTGTGTAGAAAGAGAAGGTCAGAGACACCGAACATCTGAAACAACGAATTCGTGACGAGTGTCGAACCATGGACACGAATATACTTTGCAGTGTTCAAAGAGAATGGAAACACAATCTCCAAAGTTGTTTCCAATTACAATGACATCATGTGGAACACATAAAGAAGTGTCTGTGGCACCCTGTAATACTGTGTCGATAATAAATGTTACTCGACAATGACATGTTCAGTGCAACAATTATTTGAAGAAAAAAAATGTGTTATTTCTGAAATAGACATTATAATATACTTCAGTAATCTTAGGAATGTCTTCCGGTGGCTCAGAGGTAAATTTGAAGGCTTATAACGCTCAAAAGAGGGTTTCAATATCCGCGATGGGCAGAGCACATATAGCTCACTGGGTGGCTTTGCGCTTAACAATAAACAAACCTAAACTTCTAGGGTTAGGAAAAACGGTCATGTAGTTTTTATTTGATGACACATGACTTTCAGAGGAAGTTTGTTAGTTGGTGTACTTGGTGATTTGAACAAGTTTCATAACAGATTATTCAATTTACAACTCCATGGAAAAGATGTAAATCCACGGACTTACAACGCTAAAATCCGGAGCCCGATTCCTCGCGATGGATACAGCCCAAATGTGGCTTTGCTCTAAAACATGCATTGAATCGCATACTAAGAGTTTTGCGTCTCGTGACTTAAATTATTCCTGATATTCTTAATAATATTCTATTCGAAACTCACCTGGGACGGAAGGGTGGAGCCAGTTGAGACATAGCATGAATCTGTTACGTGATTGGTGTAGCTCAAGCCTGCGCGGTTGTCGGCCATGGCCACGCCTTGGTGGTGGTGGTGGAGAGGTACTGAGGACGTAGGCTGGACGGGATGATGCAGTACACTTGGGTCTGCAAAACATATTTTACTTCAAATTTTCAGATAAAGAAAATGTACAAACATATCCAAGAAGTGGCATACAAATCTTTATCCATAGAGAATATAAAATGTTTTTCTTTACTTAGAAAAAGGCATTTCATGTGTAAAAAACCGTAAAAAAATAACGCTACCATCAATTACGGATTTTTTTAGTCATAAAAAGGAATTTTCGCAAAAAGTTGATTATTTTTCCAACAGATGCCGCCACAAGTCTCATGATTTAACCCAAAGTTTTTATGTCAAAAATAAAAGAGAAAGATTAATTTTAATAATTTATAACCTTGATCAAAATTACTGTAGCCGGAAAATGTTAAATGAACTTTAAACAACAATAAATGGTTAAATTAAAAGGGAAAATATTTTCTGTAAGGTTAGTGCAGTTACTCAAATATAACAGACCATGGGTAGCTCAAATCATCTCCTTTTTCTTAAGTTGCTAATTTTCCTGAATATTTTCGTTTTTTTTTCCAACAAGCTTAATTAACAATGATTACTAAAAGTTTGTTAACTTAAATATCTCTTAATTAGTCCCTTCTACTTACACGGTTCGGGGTGTTCGGTAAATAAGTTTACAACACATGAAACTATTCACAAAGCTCACTTTACCTTGTGGTGGATTAGAATATCCCGGATCTGTTAAAATGTACGAGGCGCTAGTTGGATAGGCCATCGGTAAACCCAAAGCGCTGAATCCGGTCAGTTGTTGACTTCCCATTTGTTTTCTCCATCTCGCGCGCCTGTTGCTGAACCACACCTGTGAATGTGAGGTTAGAAAAATACATCTAATGTAAAAAATATATATATATACAACTAGATTTTAAATAACACACCTTAATGATAGCCCCTCCGTCCCAGGTGCTTAGCAATCGACTTAAGGGCTTATAACGCTATATATCGGGGTTCGATCCATGCAGTGGACACAGAACAGATGGCTCATTGTGCAGCTTTGACAACAAAAATCAACAAACGCAAAGCCACACAATGGACTACTTTCTACTGCGGGGAAATGGACCCCGGATTTTAGCTTTAATACCCTTAAACTTACTGGGGACATACAAGTCTTAGTGTATAACTTACTTAGATACAGCTGACAAAATTAGTGAATTTTTTTCTTGTTTTTTTTTTTTTTTTCATTTTGGAAATTTATTCAAATAGTTTCAACCTTCACACATAAAATTACCCCGAATTTGTGATAAAATTCTTCTTGGACAGTTGTGTAAAATCGTTAATAAAAAAAACATAATTAAAACTTGTTTGTTTGTTTACACAATGAAAATGAATCTTATTGTGTAAACTAAAGAAGGTGATTGTATTTATTTACCCTGACATCAATGGAATGACCCAATGCGTGTACGCTTTCTTCGTTGTCAATACGCGTTTATTTTTAAACGTTTTTGATATATTCATTTTATGTACTTTAGCTTGGATGAGTTCGAGTTATAGTATCGCATTTCTTACACCATATGTAAGGTTTATTATCAGGAAAATTTCTATGGAAATAAGAAACGCTCACTAATTCAATTTATAAGCAAAATACAATCCACTTTTTTTTATAACATTTTTTTGCACATATCTAAACGCATGGTCCCCCCTCTAAACGTTACGAAAGTATCACCAAAAGTTTACTGCACTCACTAATTCAGTTTAATAAGCAAAATACAATCCACTTTTTTTTATAACAATTTTTGCAAATTTATGCACATACCTAAACGCATGGTCCCCCCTTTAAAGTTACGAAAGTATCACCAAAAGTTTACTGCACTCACTAATTCAGTTTAATAAGCAAAATACAATCCACTTTTTTTTATAACAATTTTTGCATTTTTTGCACATATCTAAACGCATGGTCCCCCCTCTAAACGTTACGAAAGTATCACCAAAAGTATACCGTAATAGATTTTCTCTATACTTCCTTTACAGCACAATTTGTGAACGGCTCCTTCGTTTATGTCTGGGTGTGTACAATACAGTTAAATTTTACTGGTGTGGTTCATTTTAACTAAATTAGCGTAGCCTAAAACTTGTCAAGCAAATTAATTTTTAGCTTTCTTTACCTATTGGTAATTTAACCCACCAAATAACGAACAAGAGCAACTGTCTTTTTGTTGTTGTTGTTATTATTAAACTCGACACCAGGATACGATTGAAGCAAGACATCGCCATTTTACTCCCCGTTTTTCACCTCACTTTTCATTTGAGTTTTGATTACAGTTTTTGCGCCATGAGACAGAATAAAACCTACCCGTCAACCAATCAACAGGGTTGATATTCATTAGTAGACGGCCCGTGTGTTCCAAACTTTCGCTGCTGTCTAACACCTGAGAGGTACCTGACGGGCGACCCCTCCCAAAGATTGGATTCGTATGATATGTTACGTGCACGAGGAGTGAAGCACGTGTCACTCAGTTATGTAGAAATCTAATGGCTTCGCTGTTCGGCTAATTCTCCTTGTAATAATGAGGCCACATCAAAACACCTACCGCAGTGGCTTGCCACCTTTAGATAATGATAAGGAGACTACCGACAGAGGGCGTGATGAACCATTACTTATTTTCGCACCTCCAGGTGACAGCCGACGACTGTTTCTCGCCCTTTCTTGACTCGTTCACAACATTTTTTTTCTTCGGGCTGACTGCTATATGATGCTAGTGGGCAAAGCGATGTGATTGGAATTCAACTATGTAAATAATTTTGAATCAGACAAACTTGTGCTTGTAACTTTTAATTGGAACGTTTCCGATTTCAAGGTTCCATTTCGCTAAGAGGACGACAAGTGTTTTTATTTCACCAAAAATGAAAATTTTGGTTTTTTTTTTATATATATAGGATTCTTATTCAACAACTGTTTACAATAACGTGCAACACATAACAACACGTAAATGTTATTCTTATTGCACCAGTTACTCGCAGATTTTTGCGGTTTTTCCAGATGTCCGGAATCGTTTCTTGCCACCTAGAACGTGCAGGTGGCGTTGATTACGAAATAATTCTAACGCATAATAAACGTCTTAATCCAACGTTTGATGAACCTCCATATTCCTTCCATATCAGATCAAGATATATCGCGTATTTCCAAAGACAGCGTTGGATCTGTAACTACACGTGACGTATTGGTTAACGTATTGGGCTGCGTATCCAAACGTCCAAGGTTCAAGCCACAACATCACACTGAATATGCTCTGCACTGTCAGCTTTGGGGGGTGTTATAACAGCGACTGTCAATCTAGCTAGCCCCCACAGTGGCACAGTGGTATGTCTGCGGACTTACAACGCTAGAAACCGGGTTTCGATACCCGTGGTGGGCAGAGCACAGATAGCCCATTGTGTAGTTTTGTGCATAACTTCAAACAAACAAACAATTTAGCTATTCTGATACGAATGGCCGTGTAGGCGGCGAGTGCTCTAATCAGTAGTTCTAAACACGAGATAGATATGTTGCACCTTGGGGTCTATGACCTGGCCATTTAGCCCATGTGTCGCATAAGATGTCGTACAGATCAACTTTACACTCCTGAATGTTGCTGGGTTCTGCAAGACAGAATGTGTCCCGAGTGCAACAGTACTAAATATCCTAAGATAAAGCTTACATCACAACTGGTCAAGCAGTTATAGCAGTAGTTAACGTGTTCGGAATTTAAACCCGATGGTTTACGGTTCGAGGTTCGTCACTGCAAAAACGTAACTTTGCACTTTTGGGTGATGGATGTTCTATAAAAGTGATGGTCAAGTCTCGCTACTTGACTGGGCCAAGATATGGCGGTGGGTGCAGTTGAATAACCTTCCCTCTAATCTATCAGTTCAAAACTATGGCGGGTTATGCGCGGATAACTTTTCGTGTAGCTATGTACAAAACTTCTCAAACAAACAAGTATTCAGACATGTTAGTGTACTACTATATACCGCTACTTAGTTAATTCATATTCTAGCCGATAGGGTTCTCTTCTTCCCAAATCTCTAAGAAACAAGTCATACCTACTGACATTCCGAACAAACTGAAAACCCATTTAGTTGTTGCTTCAAGTTCGGTACTTCCTTTACCTCAGAAGATTTTATTGTTTCGTTGTTGAATTTCGCGCAAAGCTACACGAGGGCTATCTGCGCTCCAGCCGTCCATAATTTAGCAGTGTAAGACTAGAGGGAAGGCAGCTAGTCATCGCCAACTCTTGGGCTATTCTTTTACCAGCGAATAGTGGGATTGGCCGTCATATTATAACGTTCCCACGGCCGAAAGGACAAGTATGTTCAGTAGGACGGTGATTCGAACCCGCGACCCTCAGATTGTGAAGCAAGCACCCTAACCACCTGGCCATGCCGGACCACCGTAGAAGGATATCTCGTGATTTCAGCTTGTCAGAAAACACTTATTATTATTATACAAAGAACCAACCAATAGGGAAACGACATTTCAACACAGTGGCTCTCTACTGCCAAGGTCGATAATTTCACCTTCTGTTTAATTTCGGTATACAATACAAGTTTTAGTAGTTATATATATATATATATACACAGTCATATCACAAACGGTCGAGGTTGGCCCTTTCTTAGAGCTCTGGATTTCTCAGCTAGCGAGCCTGGTTCGAATCCGTGCGATACCGCAACCTATTTCCCTCTCTTTAAGCTATGGGTGTGTTAGTAGAGTGACAATCAATCCCAGTAGTGGGGTACAGCTGACTGGCAACCTTCTCTCTCTTTCTGGTGAGTAGTTCAGTAGGGACGGAAATAGATAACCATAAATACAAACACTGGTAAACTATAACCGGATATTCACGACATTCTTCTTACATGTACTTACTGCTGACGATGTATATCTTGTGCGTGTAACTTGCACATTTCAAGCCGGTGGTTATGGGGCGCTCGACTTGCCAAATTTGCTCGCCTTTTCAGCCGTGGAGGTGTTATAATGTGACGTTCAATCCCACTTATCGTTAGTAAAAGAGTAGCCCAAGAGTTGGCGGTGGGTGGTGTTAATTAGGGAAGGCTATTGCAAATAGTGCTCGAGTAGTTGAGCGGGAAACTCAGCAAAATCAAATTTCAATTCAGTATGATGGGTAATTATTATTATTAAACAGATTCAAACCAGGATGTCTATTAAATATTAACGACTTCCGATACCAACCTGCTCTCTTAACGCATTCAACCCAATAAAGTAGACGTTTTTTTTTCGTTTTTTTTTCGCTTATAAATATCTAATATTTAATTACCGAACATGTTAATAATCTTTTGTTTTTTAAAAGTAGTTTCTAACCTGTACCCGAGCCTCCGTCAGCTTTGTCCGTTGAGCGAGTTCTTCTCGCGTGTAAATATCCGGGTATTGAGTCCTCTCGAAAGCCTTCTCCAGTTCGTCGAGTTGGGTTGCCGTGAAGGTTGTTCGGGAGCGGCGTTGCTTTCGCTTCAGAGTCAGTGACGGTTCGGTATCGCTGCAGTCAGAAAGCGACCCTTCGTCATCTCGACCTGTGTAAATCGATGATGTCATTATTTACTTTCTTATTTATGCTAATATAATAATAATAACAATTATTTACAACGATAATGAAGTGATTTATTTGGGGGGGGGGGTGCATACTACATGTTTGAACAGATTTATTTGTTTGTAATTAAGCACAAAGCTACACAACGGGCTATCTGTGCTCTGCCCACCACGGGTATCGAAACCCGGATTTTAGCGTTGTACGTCCGTAGACGTACCGCTGTGCCACTGTTGTGTGGGGGGGGGGGGGGCGTTTTCAACAGAACATTGGTCTGTATTCTTCGTGTATAATACCCGAAGAAGACAAACGTGTATTATGTTCTCCCCCAAAAATAAATCACGCTTATAAATTATGGTTTGTCAACTTATCAACTTTATGATGTGAGATTTCGATTGAAACTGTTTTTATTTTTAGTGACAAAAAAAAAATTGTTAGA